CAGCATGAAATAGAGAAAATATCCAAAGAATGCTAATTACCCAGGACCTATGAAGAGATGCTTGCCACTCTGTACGGAGCATGCCCGTCTTCCCCTTTCTCAGCATGCTCTGTGAGTCAGTCACAATCACGGCATGTGTGTACAGCTGATTCTCTGTCCAGCCGAAAGCATTATTTACTGCCTCCACCTCCATTCTCAAACTAGATGTTGTGATATCATATGCCAGGCTTTGCTGCACCAAGCCACGTCAATTCTTATATTTGCTATAAAACCCCATGCACTTCGTCTGCCCCTTAACACAGGGCAATCTGTATAGATAATCGCAGCACCCGGGCTGGAATTTGTCATAAATCATTTGTTGAACTTCTGATTCTGCCTGCAGCACTAGCTGGTAGTCATTGCTCTTAAGACCCAAAATGATAAGAACTCTACACAAGTCTGAAAATTGTTCGAACACTTTGACCCACTCCTCTTCTCGCTTAAATTTATCGAGCCTGCCCACATGTCCAAGAGTGTCTTCAGCTTGCGCCATCTAGGTAGAGTTAATGGTCTATGAGAATTAACTCTACCCAGGGTCTCATGCAGGATGTGCTTCTTGTCTGCAGCTACTCTGAGTTATGATTTTGCTTGCAGAACGTTGAGCCTATCAATAATAGAAGCAGTGCAAGTATATATCGCATACATACTAAAGGGTTATCTCTTGTTCATCCCAGAATTACTCGCATGGCTTCATTCTGTGTCCGTTTAAGTTGCATCAGCTAACTCATTGAATAGGTAAGCAATCCAAGTCCATAATCTATCACTGACAGGATTATATGCTCGAACATTGTAAACTGCACCGGAAAGTAAAGGATGTCGTATGATGTTGACCTCTCTAATCGAGGGTAGATCAGTAAAATAAGTTGTGAAAGTAGGCCTTCAAACAAATCACTAATATCCTTAAGAAACCTTTTTTTTTTTTTTTTTGCTTCTGATCATGCCCGCAGAGGGCTGCATTAGGAAATCTAACAAAAGAATCATATTCAACCAAACTCAAAAAGAAGGTTTTCTTAACGGAACCACTGTCTGCAATTGCGTTTATTCTTCTGAGTAGTGTTGTGTTAAGCTAACATATTGTTTTCAAATGCTGACTATAGCCGGTAACCATATGACAACGAATATGTTTCAACGTGACAAAAATATCTCAGCTTTAGCATCAGTTATTTTTCTAACATCTTCACAGGTTGACAGGACAATATAAATAGGAATTGTATTCAACCAGGGGATACGTACTTAGATTTTGTTCTCAACTTTACAATTTGTGCATCAGAATAATGTTCTTTTAATTCAAGCTTCAGTTTTCCTCATGCGTGTCTTCAAGCCGCAAATAGTCTACATCTGGCCATTTGGAGCATACCAGTGCTCTGACTTCATGCACTTTTAAACAGAAGCTACATCTGAAGTAGATGGATGAAATCCGAACAGCCGTTTATATTTTTAAAAAAAGTTAGTCTTTACAAAGTTGAGAAGTATTATCCCAAAACATTACCATTGCATTTAGAATGCACACATATATGCTATTATAAACAATTCACTAATTATGTACTCAATTAATTATTTAAAAATAAATAATTAATTAACAATGCAGTACTTTTATCAGACTAACCCTTAGCGGCATTGTTATACACAGACACCTCTCTAGAGTAATTATCGCAGTTATCCAGCCTGTGATTCTCGTGAACGTCGTGTGAGGCATTCCGCTGGTCAAGTACAGGAATTCTATTGGGTCGAATGGTAGATCGCAATCGCTGAAAGCTGGCGTATACCATATGTTGGTCCAAACCAGGGTTATTAGACAGCCCAAGTCAGCTATAGCAAGACCTGGAGGCAATGAGGGTACAATATTCAAGTACATAATAAAGTACTGTTATGAATAGTGTTTATATTTACAGTGGACAAGAAAATTGTTCAAAAAGTAACCTTTTGTAAAGACTGGATATAATGTAACATATTTTCTGTGTGGTAAATATACAGTCATCTGCACAATGACACGCTGTTTTTAAATAGAAAAATACCGTTTTTCATATTTTAGTATGTTAGTTTTTACCGTAATGTCGTTGGAAAAGTATAATATGCACTACAGCGTCGGGTAAAATGAGAGATGGAAGGTTTTACATTCTAAAAAGTATCTTAAAGTCGCAGTGGAGGGGAACACCTTCAGCAAGAGGTCTTGGGGAAAGGGACATGAAAATAGGTGGCTCTTCAATGACATAGAAGTCACGATCAGAACGATTTGTGCTACTGACGAGACAGAGCGATGTGAAGAATGGGTTACAGTGCCGCCCAGCAAAACAGACTTTCACATAGTGATAGTTATCTTGGACCGAGGGTGTCAGGAAAGGATAGCTGGTGAAAGAGATTAAGTGGTACAAGAGCCGATCAATGAAGATTCACGCTCAGGTTCCATCATAATACATACAAATGAGTCTGTATTAAAAAGTTCGAAATAAAATGTGTGGGGTTTTATTACAAAGATGAATGGACACTGAAAACAGAGAGCCTCGCTACAACGTCCCCGAATGCGAATGGAGATGGAGGCGGTAACGGCAGCTTTACCATGGCTGGCTTGAGAACAGCCTAGTCCGACATGTTGGAAATGTAACTCACAGAGCATGTTTTGGAAAATTGAAACTAGTGTCCTGCGATCAAAGTGGCTTTCATCACTCGATAAGACCCAGATCAAGAGCAAATCTTGAATTTTCTGTCCATGATATTCATGTGTGTGAGGTAACGAGCAGACTGAAAGATTAGCCGCTGCAGCTCCTCAGGGCAGTGAGCTACTGCATTATAAGGCGTACACGGTAAAGGCTCTATATGATCAAATGGACAGCGCAAAATAAAAGGTAGGAAATCCACACACCAGAATACTAATTCAATGGGGGTGGTTTTTTTTTTTTTGGGGGGGGGGGGGGGTTATTAGAAATCCCGGGAGAAATGCAACACTAAACGGAAAAAGTGCGGACTTTTAATTAGGTTGCAACTGGTACTATTAGCATGTAAGCTCTTCGTTAGGAAGGAGACTGAGTACATGTGGGAATGGCCTGAGCGCAGTGATGTCAATTCTTTATTCACTCATTCATTGTGCCAAAATTGAAAGTCTCTGTCTCGTAACATTAGGATCAAAGTATAAAAACCGCAGACATAATAGGTTGTTTAACATGTCTAAGGAGCCTGGAACACAACTAAAATAGATGCAACCGTGTTAATCGGTTTTGAAAACAAAGTCTTACAGCGAATCCTTGGTCCCATCAACGATGCATACAAGCGCTACATGGAGAGCAAAAAGCAGCATTGAATTTAATCACATCTCATTTTTATCCTCTTGTACCTAGCAGTGTCGTCGTGAAGTCTAATTTTCGAGATAGTGCCTGCTTGTGTGTTTAGTAAATGGGGACTCCCAGGGACTCCGCATTTCCCTCTCCCCATCGTCTGCATGGTAGGTCTTTTCCCACCTGATATGTACATCATTGCTTGATGTAGTATACTGTCTGCTGATATTCCCATTATGTGGCAAAGCCATTTTGCCTGTTGTCTTCTAATGAAATCCAGAGCAGCTGCTATCCCCATTTTTCTTCAGATTTCAATGTTTCTTTATGATCTATTTTTTTTATATTGAGAGCCCTTGCAGAAATCTCATTTCAGTTGAAATTTTTTTTTTCATTATCCATGTCCATCATTGATAACACATGGTTCGCAAGAAGATTGTGTCTTAGAGTGCTCTTTTGGTTTCAACAGATGCATGTCTGTTTCCTAGTGCTGGTGCCATTTACCCAATGCGTTGCTTTGTTTTGATACATCTGTCATCGATCACACATTCTATTTCGCCAGCTGATGAAAGTATGCTTCCTAAGTATTTGGAGTTCTTGGTTTGTTTCAGAGGTGTTCTGTAAGTTGGTTATTTATTGTTTAGTCTACTTTGGCTATGGTAATGACCTCAGTTTTGTGTAGCGTTAATTTTGGTTTTTTGCTCTTTGCAAATTCAGTCTACATTGTGTTAATTCTTCGGGCGGACAAGACTGACATAAAGATGTGAATGGACAAAAGTAAAGTGGCGAGGGACAAATGGAAGAAACTATAAGGAAACCAAAATAAAACATAAGATAAAAGAACCGACTGTCACCTCAGTTACGTAGGGAATGTATGAGAACAATTATAATGGAACGGACCACGGTCCGACCATGGTGACGAGCATAGAGATGGTGATTATGTTTAGGATGATAAGGTGGGGATAGTGATGCTGATTATGTTGAGGATAATAAGATGGTCATGGTGATGCTGATTATGTTGAGGATGATAAGGTGGTGATGGTTATGCTGATTATGTTGATTATGTTGAGGATGATAAGGTGGTCATGGTTATGCTGATTATGTTGAGGATGATAAGGTGGTCATGGTTATGTTGATTATGTTGAGGATGATAAGGTGGTCATGGTTATGCTGATTATGTTGATTATGTTGAGGATGATAAGGCGGTGATGGTTATGCTGATTATGTTGATTATGTTGAGGATGATAAGGTGGTGATGGTTATGCTGATTATGTTGAGGATGATAAGGTGGTGATGGTTATGCTGATTATGTTGATTATGTTGAGGATGATAAGGTGGTGATGGTTATGTTGATTATGTTGATTATGTTGAGGATGATAAGGTGGTGATGGTTATGCTGATTATGTTGATTATGTTGAGGATGATAAGGTGGTCATGGTGATGCTGATTATGTTGAGGATGATAAGGTGGTCATGGTGATGCTGATTTTGTTGATTATGTTGAGGATGATAAGGTGGTGATGGTTATGCTGATTATGTTGATTATGTTGAGGATGATAAGGTGGTGATGGTTATGCTGATTATGTTGAGGATGATATGTGGTCATGGTGATGCTGATTATGTTGAGGATGATAATGTGATGATAGTGACGATTATGAAGATGATGACTATTATTATGCAAACTGAAATAGGTTACCTAGTAGACTGATATTGACCGGGTCCTTGAATCCTTGCCTAACGAAACAGACAATGTTGACAATGTTTGTTGCGATTCCAAACAAATCAATTATCTGACAGATCACAGTAAAAAATATCCACTGGCATATTATTCTGACCTCGTCACTTAACAAACCACCTAGTGGTATTACCGAAATTGTCATATTATTATGTGTCGCAATTGCTACTGATGGCTGACTTGCTACCATCGTTATTGCATGAAGAGGTTTCAATCTAAACTTGCCACAAGCTACCTTTTCATTCGGCACCTGTTTTCAGGAAATACTAACTACAAAACACACTGTGACTAAAAAACATGACTGGAAGTGAACTTTTGCCGAGCTCTTTTGCGTTTGTTTTCGGTATATAATGTGAGACCTATATTAAAAAAAACAAAAAACAATAGGCACTCGATGGGTTATAATTGTTTATGCAATTTACTCGACTTCGAGAGTCGCCGTGGCATAGCGGCTAGACGCTTGCGCGCGAATCGGAAGGTGGTGGGTTCGCTCCCAGGCGGAGGAGGACGTTTGAAAAAAAAAATAACATTGACTCCCAGGTCGACCCAGCTTTAAGTGGGGACCGGGTGCAGTTCCGCGAAGTAAAGGCGACCGTTGTGATGCTGACCCAATAACCCAACTTGTGCCGATTGGTCTTTAAAAATATAAGTCTAGCCCTTTACGCCTATGGGCGTGGAAAAGGGACCTTTACTTTTATTTTTTAAACTTTTAGTCGACTTAAGTGGACTTTAGACATTCTTACACAGTAAGTCTATAAATTGCTCTCATTGCACATCAAACGATTAGTCCTTATGTGCTCAGATTCCTTCCTAATAAATCCCGCAGTGTGCAGCGGCTGGCGACACCAGATCTGAGTTTGTTTCTCATTTTTCGTTGGCTTCCTGCATATTGCTCTTGTCTAGCTACACCTCGTTTGATATTTTGTTCTTGCAGTCTGGTCGTGGTTGCAGATTCACATTCTTATGCGAGCGTTGTCCTTTGTTGCAGAAACCACGCTGCACCTCTTCTGACAGTTCACTTGAGAATACGACACAGAACTGCTTCACTAACATTGATACACGATGTATTCAACAGCAGGCCCGGCTCTCTAGCGTAGTTGGCTAAACCGGATTGCGCGGAGACCGGGTGACGAACTCCTTGTGGTCCGTGTTCAATCCTGGGGGTAGGCAGGAAAGCCACATTTTCTCCCAGATATACGGTATTTACAATGGAATCGAGGCCGAAAGGTTGCGATATCCAAAATACCGAGCCCAAGGGTTAACAACTCATGGCTTCTGGATACTAAAACAAACAAACAATTCGCCAGCGTGGTTGCAATCACTGCTGTAATTCATATATCTGCTTTTACTGAGTCCATAACAATGCATACGATAAGATAATAATAACGTGCCCTGTATGTGAGGAGCAATTGCATAACAATATTATAATGCTATAAACTTGAACTACACTGTTGTGAGCAAATGTCATTTTGAATGCGTCTATATTTTTCATTCTAATTCTAGGCTATTAGTTACTAAGTGGATTCAACGATAGCATCAATTAGTTTATTTAAACGCTAAAACATATAGAGACTTGCGTAATTTTAGAGTAGAGTCATCAACTATAGGAATATTATTACTGTGTAAGTGTGTTAATGTTTACTGGAGAAAAACGTGCATTTCAAGGCAAATGTACAAAATAGGTTTTCGCTCTTTGTATAATCTTGTACTGTCAACAATGACACGTACAGTATATCAGTTCTCCCTTGACATACATTATTAAAATTGTTAGTATGAACAATGTAAGGACAATGATTAAATACCATTGTGTTGTTTCTATGACATGAAACAATACGATTTCAGAATGCTATTTAAAATAACTAAGCTAGACACTGTATTTAAAACAAAAATAACATATTTTTCTTTAGCTGAAATATATATCTTAAAGACTGACATGCTCGTACAGTACATTTAGATATTTATCACCTAACATAATAGTACTAACTGCGCACTGAGGCCCTCAACATAAGAGATGTTTTTCAACCTCCCCAGTCTAATTATGTTTCGACAAACTAGGTTCTACACAATATTTTAATATTCAGGTAGACTTTATTGTATTATGAACTGCTCTCGGTCGGTGTATGTGGCTTAGGTTTTGCGAACGCGCATCGTAACACCGGCGAGCCAGGTTCGATCTCAGCTGCGGACGATTTTTTACCCTTGCGTTGGTTTCGAAAGTGGTATCGAGAGCCGAACTTTCAGTAAGCAATGGCAAACTACTGAACGTACGCACGCCTAGAAAAACCACAACAGCCGAAAAATCATGGTGTTGGTCTGCTACGTCATGTAAAGAATACGAAACTAACTTAACCAAAGTTGTTCTATTGCTAGTGTTTCGTTTTAGAGCTAAACAGATCTTGGTAATAATAGTTTTCCCATAGGCCGGCATCGTTAGACAATGAAGAGGCATTAACGTACGTTTCTCCAAGATATATCAACATTGCTGTTCCTGCTAATTACTAAAACCATTCTGTCTCATGGTGAGACTGGTACTTGGTAGTTGTTGTTTTTTCCCTCGTCAGATTGGTTATCAGCAGTGCATTTTCGTGACTGCAAAATTGGGATAACTATTTTAAAATCCACGTTCGGTTAAAAAAGATAAGAAATATGCCTCCCGCAACAAAAAAAAATGTGTCTCCTAAAATTGAAGTCAGAATGCACATAAATCATAGCGCTTTACTGTTTTTATTTCCCTATTGCTTTTAACAAGCATGTCATTAAAGTCTACTAATTAGCTGTGGTTTCCTCGAAGCTAGAGTGTGTCTGCTTGAGAGGCAAACAAATAACAGCCAAGATATAAATAAGCCTGATCTGTAGAATGAATGTGCATGCTATTCTAAAGTTCTAAAACAAAACCGAAGTCTAGAAGTGGAAACAACCTAAACTTTCCGAGGCAGGTTACAGAACATGAGGAAGTAGAATTGTTATATTCTTACCAGCAGAGCTACCGGACTATGAATGTTGTCTTTTTTTTTTAACACAATATACGTCTAGATCTTATTTTGTAATTGTGAGAGATATTGGCTTGAAAACATGTGTTTTGAATCTGTCTTTTTTGTATTATAATGTGCCTACCTTTAGAGGCGTCCTCATCTGGAGTCCAATTTAGGTAAGGGGTAAAAACAAAAGGCTGATCCAACAAGCGACAACGTCAACAGTCGTGATTACAAAACACACAAAAATGACGAATAGTGCAAATTTTTTTTTTTTTTAAACTCTATGTTCAATTAACTATATGATAAATTGTTTTTTAGCATTTCGTGATGCACTAAAGTTCTTTTTTTTTTTTTTTTTTACGTTGTAATCACAATTGCACGCTATTAAACAAAATACCCCGCTCCCTCCCCTTTTCATCCTCCCAGGATCTGTTCAAGTGTATTCGGTATAACGCAACTTGAAGTCTGAAACATAAGTACTCGATTTGTCCCCTTCGAGATTTTAGTTTTCGTGATTAAAACCTTTAAAATAAACATAATTGATAACATCCTAGAAAGCACATTGGGTGCCCCGTCGGTTATTTATTTCGTGGCAGTGTCGCGATTGATACTGTTCCCTACGAGTAAGTGAGCGAGTAACGTTGTTCACCTACCACCAGCATTAACACCTTAGGGAAGAGAATCAATCGGGAGCACATCCTAGAAACCATATTCAACAATCTGAAGCAGTTTCGTTAGTTACCGTGCCTGCTGTTGGAGGATACATTCTCCAATACAAATACAACAGTAATAAACCTGCTTGACATACTTTTCCCCTTTGAAATTTCCAGATATGACTTAGTGCCTGATTTGCCCTAGTGAGCAACCTCATCCTTGTTAGTGAACTCAAAGCATCGTTGAAGATTTTATAATTCCATTTTCAGTTCGGTATTGGACTCTGGGAGATCACAGGACCATGAAGATTTAAGTAAGCCATTAGTTTCCCAGGTTACATCCATGTGTGAACTATTGTGCCAATGGCTTTTGTTGTCTAACCACATCCCTATGGTATGGTTATATAGAAGGCAGACGATGTTCCTTCTAGTAGACAATCCTTATGTCAGATACATTGTTGTTGCTTGCCCTTTTTTTCAACAGCCACTCGAGCTCCAAGTTACCCATTACATAATCCATTTTATTATTGTGAAATGAATATATTTTGCGTTTTCATTCTGAAGTTACTTTCAGTTTACTTTTACAATTTAGTTAATTTAATCAGTCAATACTAACAATTTTGGCTGTTGTGGATATATCTAGTCGGTGAGTGTTTCTTGAAATGGTGAGGCAGTCTGGCTTATAAAGTTAGTTGTGTATTCTTTACAGGACGTTGCAGAACCAACTAAATCATTTTTTGGCTGTTGTGGTTTTCATAGGCAAGTTCACGTCCAGTAGTTTGTCATTGCTTTCTGGACGGTCGCTTTTTCGATGCCACTGTCGAAACCAACGCAAGGCGCAATACCCGCAGCTGGGATCGAACCCGGCATCCCGGCATTATAAAGCGCGTTCGTAACGCCTAAGCCACAGGCGCCGACGAGTCTGGCTATGCACCAGCAAATTTATAGAATTTAATCGTTGGTGCCTTCCGGTTGAATTACCTCATGCCTGGAGTTGCGTAGGGTGGTTTGTTGACTTCGTGGAAGTGCTGCTATAGACAAATAACCAGCCACTATCTCGACAATTAGGCCTCTTCTGACTGTAAAGTATGCTTGTTGTATTAAGGAAGGAAATATGCCCTCTTTGTAGATCAAGAGAAGGCATTCGACCGTGTAGACAGAGATGTGCTGTGGAGAATTCTTGACGATTACGGAGTGCAGGGTCAATTATTAGACAACATCAGAGCCCTCTATGAAAAAAGTGAAAGTGCAGTAAGAACATCTAGTGGTCTTTCTGAATGGTTCAAAGTCACAACTGGTGTCAGACAATGATGTGTACTGTCACCATTACTTTTCATAACATACATGGATAAGATCACTGTAGAAGCAAACCCAGACGTGTATGCTATAAACGAATTACTTTTTGCTGATGATCAAAGCATACTGTATCAAAATGAACATGATCTACAGGAACATCTGACTACTCTCAACAACAGCTGTTTACAACATAATATGAGAATCAGTACAGAAAAAACAGAAGTTATGAAGATCAGCAGAACACACAGGCCACTGAATATAAGTGT